GGGGGGTTCAGTGACTGACTTTTCAGTCTTCCCAGGTGTCTCTGGGTGGCGCGAACAACCAACCTTTCAGCTGGTAGCCAAGTGCGTCGGTCGATCGTATGTACCACCCCGGGACTCCAAGAAGGTAGGCAAAGTTAGAAGATGGCCTGATTTATCATTCCCTAAAGCCTCAGGCCCCAAGGGGCTGCTGCCCTTCTTACACTTACAGAAGCTGTACAAGTCCAAAGTTCTTGGATCAAACGTCAACCTAAAGGCTTTTCCTGACTCACGCAGCCGTCTGGCGGGCTGCTCCAAAATCCAGTGATGATTGCAAATGCAGCTTCTCTGAAGCGCGGCAGACGAATACACCCCGAGGCACTCTCCAGGCTTGCGCAGTCCGGTTCGGCAGCTGCTGTGACGGCGACAGCTCCTGCTGCCCCGCCGCTGCTGAACTTTCCCTCCTGCGCGGCCGCCCGTAGAATCTTCAATACTGCAACTCGAGGCTTACATTTTTTCTTCATTTCTTTCAGCTTGAGAAATTCTGAGTGTTTTCCTCCCTTTTGGTTTTCTAAATCCAGGTCTTTGCCCATCTAATTATAATAAATGACTTTGTCCTCTCAAGCTGCTCTTTGAAATTTTCTGTTCAGCTCTTTTCTCTTTGTCATTTCTTCCATTTGCTTTAGCTAATTTCAAGAGCAAGTTTCAGTGTCTCTTCTGACATACATTTTGGTCTTTTTATCTTTTCCTGTCTTTTAATGACCTTTTGCTTTCTTCACATATGATGTCCTTGATATTATCCCACAGTTTGTCTGGTTTTTCCCCATTGGTGTGAAATGCAGCAAATCTCTTCTTCAAATGGTCTCTAAATTCACATGTGATATAATCAAGGTCATATTTTGGCTCTTGTGTACTTGTTTTAATTGTCTTCAGCTTCAACTTGAACTTGCATATGAGCAATTAATGATCTGTTCCACAGTAAGCTCCTGCTGGCCTTGTTTTGGCTGAAAATATTAAGCTTCTCTGTCACCTCTTTCCACAGATATAGTCAATCTGATTTCTGTGTATTCTATCTGGTGAGGTCCATGTGTATAGCCACCACTTATGTTGTTGAAAAAGGTATTTGCAATGACTGCATAGTGCCTAAGGCACTTGACTGCTAACGAGAAGGCTTGCGGTTCAAATCCACCAGCCACTCCTCAGAAGGAAGATAGGGCAATCTATGTCCATAGTGATACTGCCTCGGAAACCCAAGGAGGGGTCACTATGAGTCAGGTGCGACTCGATGGCACATAACAACAACAAGAAGTCTTTGGTTTTAAAGAATTTTATCATACAATTCCCACTGTCACTTTTATCTCCAAGTCCATATTTTCCAACTACTGGTGATTCTTCCTTGTTAGCAATTTTTGCATTCCAATCACCACTAATAATCAATACATCTTGACTTTGTGTTTCATCAATTTCAGATTGTAGAATTTAGTAAAAATCTTCAAGTTCCTCATCTTTGGTTTTAGTGGTTGATGCATGAATTTGAATAATAGTTGTATTAACTGGTCTTCCTTGTAGGCATATGGATATTATCCTACCACTGACAGTACAGTACTTCAGGATAGATCTGGAAACATTCTTTGTGACAATGAATGCCACACCATTCTTCTTCAATTTATCATTCTCGGCATAGCAGATTATATGGTTGTCTGATTCAAAATGGCCAAAACCAGTCCATTTCAGTGCACTGATGCCTAGGATATATTGATCTTTATGAACATAGTATATGTAAATAAAATGTCAGCTTATGCAAGTAATTTTCAAGACTTACAGCTCTCTCATCTTCCAGGTCCTTTCAGGTCCTCTAAATTTGAGTCCAACCTGTGTGTGTTGTGTCTGTCAGCCTCATTCCTCACATACAGTCTCCGTCAGGCAAATAATGACTTGTTGCCTCTGCCTATCTCCTTTAATGCAGGCCACCGGATCCAAGATCTGCCCAGACAAGATCATCCAGTGGTTCCAAGATCACCATGAAAACTGAAGCAGAAGAGAACTCTTTACACTTTAAATGGACTGAAGTTTTCATTTTGAGGATGATGCTTCATTCATCCAGATGAAGCAAGCCAGTTAAAATGATTTCCTAAAGTCAAAAAAGACTAATAAAGTTGTTCCCTTACAGAAATCAGAAGAAATTTGCACAAGACATTCTTTTTTTCATAGTTTAAAAAAATTTTATTGGTTTTGTTGTTGTTGAGAATATACACAGCAAATCATAGACTAATTCAACAGTTTCTCCAGGTACAGTTCAGTGGCACTGATTCTATTCTTTGAGTTATACAACCATCCTCACCCTTCTTTCCTGAGCCATTTATCCTCCATTAACATAACCTCCTGCCCACTAAGTTCCTATTTCTAATCTTTCAGATTACTGTTGTCAATTTAATCCCATATAAATAGTTTTTAAAAGAGTATAATGCTTAAGGCAGACATATTTTACTCAAAATAAAACAAACAAACAAACAAAAAACTGACTGTCATAGAGTCTTATCCAACTCAAAACAATCTCTCCTTGGGTTTCTGAGGCAGTATCTCTACAAAAGTAGATTGTCCAGTCTTCTTTCCAAGAAGTGGCTAGTGGGTTTGAACTGCCAGCCTTCTGGTTAGCAGTCAAATGCCTTAGGCACTACGTTACCTAAGTTAAACTATTGTTTGGTTGTAAGATGACTCTGAGTATGTGTTTAGTTTAAGGTTTAAAGATTATGTTAGGTCAACAGTTTCAGAGGTTCATCCAGCCTCCATGGCTCCAGAAAGTCTGGATTCCATGAGAATTTAAATTTCTATTGCGCGTTTCCCCCCTTTCAATCAGGATTCATCTATAGAATCCTTGATCAAAATGTTAAGCATTCTTAACTCTCTGGTATGAAATGTATAAATTTTAAAAGATCCAAATACAATATAATGAGAAATAATTTTGATTAAGAACATTAACCAAAAATTATTGGACCCAAAATCCTGAGAGAGAAGGTAATAATAGTGTCTAATGAGACTATCCATTATACCTATAACAAAGTGCAAAGTACAGCATCCCTAAGGCAGAATTCAACTGCAAAAACATATGCCAAAACTGTACTCTATCCCCATAACACCCTTCCATTTCAGACACAGCCATTTCCAGCCAGGCCCTAACAAATGAAATCTCCTGAAGTGTGCTGTGAGCTATAACCAGTCTTAATGAAGTAGCATTGGGACCGAGACTTACAAATACACCTTTGTGGAAGTCTCCCCTAGATTGTAGGAAAATAGTTAAAAGGAAAACAAACAAACAGCTTTGGGTCAAAGAAGAACTACCTTTGTTTTTCCAGTAGCTTTACTTCCAGTAGATACTGTGGGAGGCATGGTTTTCCAATGTAAAATCTGGGACATCTCATAAAAGGCTTCAGAAAAGAATCCTAAATCTATGAGTACTTCTACCTTTAAAGGAAAGAAAAAAATTAATGATATTTTAAATGAAATTATTTGTTTCATTTAAAAAAAAAATGTAGAGAACAAATCATCAACGTTCAAGAGTCAAAGTTCCTTCTAAAGTCCGTAATGCATTATGAAGTGATACTTAGTACATATGAAAGGACAGAGATACATGTTTCTGTGTGCAAGCTGGTTTAATGGACCAAGAAACTAATAAACAATGGTGGACAATTACTGTGACAGACAACATTTATCAGATGTTGCTTATTTTATCAGAGGCACACACATAAATATATGATAGTCATGAAAAAGTAACAAAAATTGAACTTGTATTTTTGTTTTCAGGGTTAACTACAGCTTAAAAACTAAACAAAAACAACAGCAAAAACCCACACCTGACATTCTCTAGTACTCTAGAGTTAAAGAAATCAGGAGACCAACTCCACCATGTATCAACATAGAGACAATTATTAGTTTTTTTATTCATAATTAATGAACATTGTTAATTTTATAGACATCCACTTAACAACAATAATCAAGTGAAACTATACATTGTACATGGCTTATTTTAAATATAATCCAACAAGACTTTTAATCAAAAAGTAATAGAGTGTAAAGTACCTGTTCAAATTCATTTGTTAATACAACATGTCTTTCAGTACCTTTTATATACCAAGCCCTATTGAAAGTTGCAGAAAAAAGCTGGGGGACAACAGACCAGAGCAGCAAGGATCTCAGGTAAGGAGAGGGACACAGGCCCCACCCCTAGAAGGCAAGAAGAGGGGGAAGAAAAGCTGGGGGACAGCAGACCAGAGAGGTAGGGATCTCAGGTAAAGGGAGGGTCACAGGTCTCAACCCCAGGAGGCAGAAAGTGGAGAGGTTTTGAACAGCTAAGGGAGATAAACTTGTCTGTCAGTTTGTTGTAGTGTGGTGGCTTGCATGTTGCTTGAGGCTTGAGGCTGTACCACCAGTGTTTCAAATGCCGGCAGGGTTGCACATGGTGCACAAGTTTCAATGCAGCTTACAGACTGAGACAGACTAGGAAAAAGGAAAAAGCCATCCACTTCTCAAAAGAGTTGGCCAGGGAAAAACTTATGAATAGCAGAGAAACACTGTCTGATACATTACGTTACAATGTTATAAATAGCCTGGAAATAGTGTCCAGTGCAGTGCAGGAGGACAAGCCCCTTAGGTCAGAAGGCTCTCAAAATATGACTAGGAAAGAGCTGCATCATCAGAATAGAACCAACCTTACTGATACGGATAAAGTAAAGCTTTTGAGATTTTCATTTGCTGACGTGGCATGACTCAAATTGAGGAGAAACAGCTGCAAACACCCATTAATAATACAAACACAGAATGTACAAAGTTCGAATCTAGGAAAATTGGAAGTTGTCAAAAAGGGAAATGGAACACATAAAGATTGACATCCTCGGCATTAGTGAGCTGAAATGGACTGGCTTTGGCCATTTTAAATCAGACAACCATATGATCTACTATGCCGGGAATGACAATTTGAAAAGGAATGGCGTGGCATTCATCATCACAAAGGATGTTTCAAATCTGTCCTGAAATACAATGCTGTCAGTGATAGGATAATATCCATATGTCTACAAGGAAGACTGAAGCTCTGGTAGCGTATGCCTAAGGCACTTGACTGCTAACCAGAAGGCTGGTGGTTCAAACCCACCAGCCGCTGCTCAGAAGGAAGGTCGGGCAATCTACTTCCATAGTGATACTGCCTCGGAAACCCAAGGGAGGGATCGCTATGAGTTGGGTCCAACTTGATGGCACATAACAACAGCAACAACAAGGAAGACCAGTCAATACTACTATTATTCAAATTTATGCACCAACTACCAAAGCCAAAGGTGATGAAATTGAAGATTTTTATCAACTTCTGCAGTCTGAAATTGACTGAACATGCAAATCAAGATGTGTTAACTATCACTGGTGACTGGAATGCAAAAGTTGGAAAAAAAAGAAGAATCACTAGTAGTTGAAAAATTTGGCCTTGGTGAGAGAAATCAGGCTGGAGATTGCATGATAGCATTTTGCAAGACCAATGACTTATTTATCGCAAATACCTTTCCTCAACAACACAAACGGTGGCTATATACATGAACTTCGCCAGATGGAGTACACAGGAATCAGACTGACTACATCTGTGGCAAGAGGCAATGGAAAAGCTCAATATCTTCAGCCAAAACAACGCCAGGTGCTGATTATGGAACAGACCATCAACTACTCATATGCAAGTTCAACGTGAAGTTGAAGACAATTAAAACAAGTCTACGAGAGCCAAGATATGACCTTGAATATATCCCTCATGAATTTAGAGACCATGTAAAGAATAGATTTGATGCACTGAACACCAATGACCGAAAATCAGAAGAATTGTGGGATGACGTCAAGAACATCATCCATGAAGAAAGCAAGAGGTCTTAAAAAGACAAGAAAAGATCAAAATGGATGTCATAAGAGACTCTGAAACTTGCTCTTGAGTGGAGAGTAGCTAAAGCAAATGGAAGAAATGACAAGATGAAAGAGCTGAACAGAAGAGTTCAAAGAGCAGCTCAAAAAGACAAAGTCAATTATTATAATAATTAACTTGGAGTTAGAATACCAAAAGGGAAGAACATGCTCTGCATTTCTCAAGCTGAAAGAAAT